TTTTTTTTTTTCTACTTGCATGATAGTTGTGATAATATTACAAACAAATATTAGCAATTTATCTGATTTCTGGTACTGCTAGTAACAATAACATAAAAAGAGTTTATTATCAAAATACAATATAAGCAATTTTGATTTAATGTGGCTTTTTAAGTATTATTTAATTCAAAATATGATTGGAAGTACACTGTATTATTATCGGCTTGTTTATTATTAAAAATATTTTTTTTTTTATTTAATTAGTTATATGTTATTATTTATTATTAATTTTATTAAAGTTACCAAATATTTTTTATTTCAGTCAGAACTTAAAAGTAAAATTGTTTACACTGCGTTTTGATAATAAATACTTTATACTTATAAGGTAGACCTAAAAAACAACAACTTTAAAAAAAAAAAAATTTAGCCACCTACAAATGTATTTTATATGATAAAAAACACTAGTTTTAAAAAATGTTTGATTAAATTTTTTTTTTTTTGGAGTCCCTCAAGACACTTAAACATATAGCGAATTCCTAGTATTATCAACATACAAAAAAAATTCATTAGAATCTTGACAGATTCGTCTCAAATTAAGCAAATGAAAATTTTCAAATAGGATAATTATATTAAAAACATATTGAAAAAAGAATATTGCCAAAAATTGGTAGAAATGTACATTCTTTTTTAGTTAATAACTTCATTTTTTTATGGTCTTAAATCTAACATTGGAGTTTTTATATAATTTTGCTTCATTTGAGACCCAACATGAAACAATTAAATAATTTTTTTTGATAATATTAGGAATTTGTTATGTTCAAAGGTCTTGATGGACCCCTGAAATTTTTTATTTTTCAAAAACCAGTTTTTTTGATTATATAACACATTAAGTGGGTTGAAGCATATATTTTTCAAAAATGTTGTTTTTTGGGAAAAACCTTTTAACAAATAATATTTTATTTTAACTTTATATAAATATGTTATATATTGATGGGTTTTTTTTTTGCACTTAGATATATTAGGGAATAATCATAAAAGTAAAGAAAAAAAAATTTATATCGAAAAAAAGTTGAAGCAATGACTAGAAAAATATCATAAATATAGAACATATTTATCTGAAATTAAAAAAAATATATATTGAAATCCTACAGTCAGATTTTTAGAAAATCGATTTCAAATAAATAAACAAATCTATGATTTGCACTAAAAAGGTATTAAATAAAAATAGTTTAGGCGCGTTAAGTTTTTTTTTACCTCTTTTTACTTATATTTTTGTGAAATTTCTGTATAAATATATTGATTTACGTTAATAGTAAGCTACATCATTGATTTTTCAGAAATTAATTGACATATACTGTTGCCATATAAAATATTCTCTGTAGTTGCCATATAAAATATTCTCTGTAATTGCCATACATGTAGAATTCCTTTAAAAACACATACCCTTCTTAACACTACACGAATAAACTTCCAGCTCTGGGTTCCACTAATGTCAATGAAATTATTAAATAATGATTGAATCAGTATCTCTAAACATCCTAGATGACAAATTAATTAAAAATTTACCTCCTTTATAATTTTAAAATCCTCAAAAAGAGAATGCAAATTAAATTTTTAGTTTTAAAAATATCTCAATTTATGCATTATGACCTCCTACTGTTTAATAGTTTAATTTTAAGTTTGAAATTATCTTATTTCTAGATAATGTTAGACTTGTTTAAATCCACCAATGTAATATTAACTAATTTACAAACTCTTAAAGATGTTTATTTTGAATTTTTTTCGCAGTGCTATGGGTGTAGTTTTTAAGGGGTCACTAGCTTAAAAATAGGAAATCTAGCTTTTAATATAATAACAATGTATATTTTGAATAATAAGAAATTTTTTTTTTTATTTTCGTTAAATTTTCACAACTATATTAATTACAAATTTTTTTTACACTGCGATAGCATAAACAAAATATACTTCCAATACAAAAAATTAAATATGCTATGACTTGATAAGGGTTTTGACTGTTGTAGGAAACATCGAGAACCTTGGGGTATTGCGTAAAGTACACATAAACATTATGATTCTCATAAAACAAATATTTTAAATGTTATTGATGTAGACTTTTTTTTTTTTCTTTTTATTATTCTATGAGTGGTGTTAGTGTTGTGGTTTATAATAATAATGTTATCTTTTTTTTTTTAATTAAAAAAAAAAATACATTTTCATTTTTGGTTGATTGCTGATTGTTTGAATGTGAGCTTAAATGTTAATTTATCATTAGAACTAAAACATTTCTAAGTAATTATCTGTATTGAGAACATGATTTTTTAGTTTTGACTTTAGAGAAGTTATATTGTCAGCAAGAGAAATTGAGGTATAATTCGAAATTAATTTGTTATATAAATAAGGGCCGCGATAAGAAATAGAAAATTGAGAATTTTTTTGTTTTTTCCAGGGTACAATAAAGTTACCAGTTGCTCTAGTGTTAAACTTGTTGATATTAGATTGAAAGAAATTTTATGTAAACCGA